CGCCCGCCGCAAGCGATGTTTGCCCAGCCTGCTAAGCCACGATGTGACTGACATTCGGGCGGCCCAGTGTGTTGCACGGTCCCCCAGCCCTTCTGGCCGCCAACCCTGATTTGTGGGGGGGGCCAAGCGTAGATCCAAGCAGTTGGACTCCGGCGGTCCGTGAACATCCCTTGGGGGAGGGCGAGGTAGGCATGTGGTCCTTTGGGTATGGTAGCATACTTGGAGAGAGCCAGTTGGGTGTGGTGGTGAAGGCCAACCGGGCGAGAAACCCGGAGACTGGGAGTTGTAGTCCTGCCTTAGGCACGAAGCTGTCTGGGTGACCTTGGGCCAGTCCCTCTCTCTCAGCCCTGGGAAGGAGGCAATGGCAAAACACTTCTGAAAAACCGTGCCAAGAAAACTGCAGGGACTGGTCCAGGCTGTTGCCAGGAGTCAAAAACAAAAACAAAAAAAAAACCTGACTCGAAGGTGCACGCACCCACAAATATGTGAGAGGATTAGGAATAGGTCTTATGCCAATAGAATTCTAGAATGAAGGGACTTTGGGATCATGTACAAGGCAGGAATTAACAACTCCAAGATCCCATCCACCTCGGCTTGAGCACCCAGTGGAGGATCCTCTTCCTCCTCATGCAGTTTCTTCCATTATTGAATAGCTTTAGGAACTTTTTCCTAATGTCATTTTCCTTGTCATTTAAACCGTTTGTTTCTTGTCCTGGAATGACTCTGAACAATTCCTCCCCATCTTCGACATGACAGCAGTCCAGACACCTGGAGACCACAACTACCATGTCTCCCTGCAGCCTTCTCTTCTCCAGGCTAAGCCTAATCAAGACCTTCAACTCTTCTTCCCAAATTTATCCCGGATAATTTACTAAACTTGTATGCCACCCTGACTCTCAACGACTCAGGGTGGCTCACAGCAATCAAACAAATTACAATAAAATCAATAAAACATAAAAAATAAAGACAAATACGCTCATTTCCTTGCAAAGCTTGACTGTTACGTGGATTTGAGTTTTGCAGCTCTGTCAACATATGTAGAAGATTCAGCTCTTACCAGCGTTGACTTAGGTTGACCTGCAAGGGGAACTGGCCAGCTTCTGAGACATCTTTATAAAGTTCCCTACCACCTCCTGGAGTCCGAACTCATTCCCTATTCACAATTGACTTTCCCTTAAATGTTTGTGGGAATAAACTGGTACCATTCAAGCAATTCCCAGTGTACCTGAAGCTTTGCTTGGTTTGGCAGCTCTTGGAAGAGTTTTTAGGTTTGTTTCTTGTTTTGAATGCCCAGATGAGATAACGTTTTGGTAGCTGTTTCACTGAAGCTATGTTGGGTAACCCAACATAGGTGCAAGAAGATCTTGACAAAAAATCTTGTTCCCCAATCAGGAGCAAGCCAAACAGTTCCGGAGCCAACCTGCTCAAGCTGTGGGACCAAAAGGACTTCTCTATGTCCAGCAAAGAGAATTTGCAGCCACCACGTCCAAAGATGGTAGGTGGGCCTCAAGTGAGCGTACACTCTCAGTTCAAGAGAAGAGAGCCAAGATCTTACATTCTGCTCTTCTGCTTTCTTGATAGGTTCTGTTTCCATTCTTGGTTCAGATGATGCAACAACATGCCATTTCGTGGTTCTGAGACATACAGGTACTGAAATAACTGGAAAATCCCTGGCTTGGTTTAGAACTGGAATGGGGGATTTGTGGATGTCCTTGAGGTAGACCGGGGGTCTCTCTTCTTGGCTCCGTATTTGGAGAACGGAACAGCACAGCAGAAAGCCAGCAACAGAAGTGAGATCTTGGCACAGCTGTCCCTAACCTCATTGTCTTCCAACTGAGTGACCTTCAGCTCCCAACATCCTTTGGCCTGTATGTCTCTGGCATGTGTTTTGATCTCTCTGCTCTAATTAGAGAAATGTTCTCTATAGCTACAGTTGTCTATGAGATGCAGATTCTCATTTTAATTTTTTCAGGGAGTGGAGCAATTTGTCTAACTCACTGTGATGGATCCGATACCGAAAAAGAAGTTCTGCTAATCACAAATGCGGTGAAAATGCTTTCTCCGAGCACCGAATGTGGAAGGTCAGTTTAAAAAAAATAATAAAAAATAGTTCCCTTAAAGAATCTGGTGAAAAGTTGGGGCAATTCATACTTCTCAGCTACTTCCTCATCAACTGAATAGATCAATAGCAATGTCCTTGATATGAATTCTGTATTGTGTTTGCTTATCCAGAACCAAAATAGGTCATAGTGAGGAATATGGTAGTAATGATAAACAGGTACTTTTGAACATTCAGCCTGTGAATTCAAGTTCAGTATAAAAGTGGTTGAAAATTGAATGAATGCTTCTGGATTTTATCTTTGTTAGGTTGGAACTGCACCTGGTTGGAGGTTTTTGTGATGATAGGCGCTTGTCTCAGCACCTTACTGGTCAACTCTTAAGTAAGCTTGTGTTTTTGTTCTCTGGATTCTTCATGAAGCTTTTGGGTTCTGATTGAAATGGAAGAAAGTTTGCCAGTTGTGTGAGCTGGTGGGAATTTTGTGGACTCCGGAGCATTGAAACAGATTCCTGCTTTAAGGAAAAGGCCTACATGATGTAGGTTGTTTTGAAAGGGAGCCGGTAACATTTATAGCTAAGAGGTCTATCAGTGATGACTGATGTTGATGGCTCTGCTTGGCCTACAGAATGCAAGATACCTTCAGTAGGAAGTGACAGCAAAGGAGTGCAGTGCTGGACTGTTCGTTTTGGGCCATAATTCTCCAGAGTTATTTTTTGCAATAGATTGGTTGAGTGCCCTTGATTAAGCTAGAAATGTAATGTCCTGGGCAGTCTTGATTCAGAAATGCGTCAATAGTAACAGACATAGGGTGCAGTTGTCCCAAGTGAGAAGCTTTGGGTTTTGGTGTCTCGATAAACCCAGTTTGGAAACAAGGTGGAGCTATTCAAGTACTTGAATAATGAAATTATCTTTCATCATTGTTTATCTATACTGCCTTCCTAGGTCTATGAGTTTCATGTTCTTCCGTTTTGTGTTCTTAGGAGCGTTTGACCGCCTGCTAGATAATGTTTATTTGATGACATTCTGTGTGACAGGTAATTATTTTTTATCTTTGCCCTTACTGTCTTTGGTGAACCAATTTATAACACAACCAGCTTCCTATTGTTCTGAATTTTGGCCATCTATGAGCAGGACTGGCCATTCTTAGCAGATGTTCAGGGTTTTACAGTCAACAGTGAGTCTAGTCACATCTGTCTGAAGAACAGAGATTTGCCATCCCCATAATCACATTTATTGCTCAGACTTCTAAAGTCACCCCAACATTTTTTACCCTGTAGACCTAAGTGTGGTCTTTTAATCCTGATCAAATAAACCAACTTGATATTCCTTCCTTTTACTTCTGAAGATCTTAATCTGTAATTCATTCAAATGTTATCATCGGATTTGATCTCAAAGTTATTTTTTTAACAAGGAATGTGCCACTAACCAAAGGGAGGATTCTATAAGACTATTCAATCTTCAACCTAATTCCCCCCGCCCCCAAATTTCTGGGTGTGGTCCCAGAATCCCTTCAGAAATGCTAGCAAGTTAGAATTCTTAATATGGCAGAAGGGAAAAAATGAATAAATGCATGGAGAGGAATCCTATTTATTGTATTTAATTGACTTAATATAAGGCTTGTGAAATTTATATATAGTCAAATTTAGACTTTAGTTGAGCCAGGAAAAAAAAAGACTAAATTTGAACATCTTTATCTTGGTCCTGTCCTCTCCTTTTGCAACGATATCCTTAGCCGAACCCAAAATGAAACACCCAGCCTGAAAAACATGGTGTGTCCCGATCTGAAATTACCCAGCTGTGCCATCATGTGATTTCCAATTTATCTCTTCTTTTGATGAAGCCAATTTCTATGTGTTCATTTTAGTCCTTTCTGTGAAATTACAGAACTGAATGACCGCCAGGAAAATGGCAGGCATTTGCCGTATATTTACGGAATTGGTAAGTTAACACTTCTCGCATCTGAGGTCAGCTTTAAAGATTGTAGTTTACAATTGTGAGGTTGGATACGCCATCTTAATGCTTTTTTTTTTTTTTTAATTTGGCTCTTTAGTTACCGGTGAATGAAAATAAAAGATGCTTGTTTTATTTAACATGTCAAGAGAGCCGATTTCACAGATCTGGCTGTTGTTCTGTCCTTTGAAATAATGTTTAATGAGAATTTGCTTGCTTGTTGCCTGAACCCATTGCTTTGGATCTAACTTCTGAAGCTGCATGTACAGAGTTGAAAGAAATATGCAGAAACCATTATTTCGGTCAGTGTTTCTCAACCTCGGCAACTTTAAGGCGTGTGGACTTCAACTCCCAGAATTCCCCAGCCAGCCATGGGGAATTCTGGGAGTTGTAGTCCA